ACTCAGGACCCTATTCTTGGTTTAAAATACTAAAGCAAAGCAAACAAGTAAAATTTTTATTTTTAAAAATATGCATTAAGAAAAGTTCTTAAACTCTCTTATTATAGCTAACTGGTAAAGCTACTTGGAAATAGTGAAAAATACAAGATTAAAAGAAATACATCTTATTTAAATAGATGTGGCTAGTAACCACTGTTTTTGCACCTGTCCAAAACCACATTCTTCCTTACAATCCTGTTCTTCACCAGCTCCAACTGTGTAGTTCAGAAGGGGCTGCTCTGTGGTCATGTGACTGAAGGCTCTCCAATAAAATGACCACAAGCCTTGGCGTATCAATTAGTATAGAGGTGGTATGTTACCTGAACTTGGCTGGTAAGAGTCACATCCAAGATACTTAGTTTTGGGGATCTTGAGGAGAAAAAAAAGGTTTGGGATTTTGCATTTTGGAGTTGGAAAAAAGCAAATGGGAGGAAGGCAGCACCAAGCAAACGCAGCCATCGGAGGTGAGAGAAAATCTGTGTCTGAGGAAGATCTTGGTTGATTGATGTTCTATTTCTGATGGAATGCACAGTTGTCATTCTCTTTCTAGTATCATTTCAGCATAGCACTCTTTATTTCCTTTACAGTTTAGAGCAAATTGCAAAAGTCTTATCTGCTGAAAGTGTTGCTGGTGGCTGTTGATGATTCCAACTCACGGCAACCCCATATGTTCAGTAGAACTGCTCCTCGGGGTTTTCAAGGCTGTAACATTTCAGAAAGAGATTACCAGGAATGTAGTAGTCAACCATTTAACCATTTACACTACCCAGATAGACAGTAGGGATTCTTAATCAACATGGTATTTGTAAGTCAATGTGCTGCTTTTAATGTACTAGGCATATCCTAAGGAGCCCCAGTGGTGCAATGGTTAAGTGTTTGGCTGTTCATTGAAAAATCACTGGGTTGAACCCACTAGTGGTTCCAATGAAGAAACCACCTGGTGATGTGTTCCCATAAAGACTACATCCTAAGAAACCTAAAGGAGCAGTTCCACTCTGTTCTATAGGGTCACTATGAATTGGAATTAACCTGATAGCCCACAATAACAACAGATATATCCTGCTCTTAAGTATGTTACAGCTTCCTAAAGATATCTTATCACAACCTGTCTGTTCATTGTATTGTGGTGGCTTGGGTGCTGCTATGATGTTGGTAGCTATGCCACTGCTGGTATGTGCAATAGCAGAAGGATCACTCATGGTGGATAGGTTCCTGTGGAGCTTCCAGACTAAGACAGACTAGGTAGAAAGGCCTGACAATCTGTTTCTGAAAAGTAGCCAGCGAAGACCCTAAGAATCACAGGACAACACTGTCTGATACAGTGCTGGAAGATGAGCCCCCTAGGTTGGAAGGCAGTCAAAATCCACACTAGCCCAATGGACTCAGCAGACCTAGGATAGGGAAGATGGTATAGGATGGGCAACATTTTGTCATATTGTTTGTGGAGTTACCATGAGTCAGAGCCAACTCCACAGCAATGAACAACAGCAAAACTATCTTTATTTAGACTAAATTTGGACCAGCCAAAGCCGTCACTGATCAAGAATTAAATTTTACGCGTGCTGAATAATCATAAATCCTGAATTGTGGTTGTTGTTAGGTGCCATTGAGTCCATCCTGACTCACAGCAACTCCAGGTGAGAGTAGAACTGACCCATCGCATTTTCAAGGATGTGATCTTCTCAGGGGCAGATCACCAGGTCTTTCTCCCAAGGGGCTGCTGGGTCTGTTGGGAGCTGAGCGCTTAACCATTGGACCACCAAAGCTCCTTCAATCCGAAAGTAACACACCTACATTCTTAGAACTGTATAGCAGCAATACTGAATCTTTTAAAGAGTGTCCATAACCTGGCTTGGGCTTTGGACTCAACTGGCCATATTAGGAATTTTCTTTTTTCTCTCTCTTTCTCAAATCAAATTCATTAGCCTACTTCATCCCCTTGAAATCAGATTCTGCAGCCCCCTGGATTTCCTCCAAAAGTCTTTCATTGTTTCACAAACCATCCTTGTTTTCAATTCATCCTTCTTTATCCACTGTGTAAACTAGGTGGACCTGAATACTCAGGAAAAATCAAAAGCATTTGGTTGTTATTAGAGTAAGGATAGCTGACTCACACATGTGAAACATTAAAGAAACCTTACAAATGTTTTGAGTGATTTTTCTCTTCTCAGTTGTTGTTGTTTGGGGCTGTGGGGCATTTAACCACATCCTGTCGAACACACAACACTTTATTAGCAGGTATAGTTTCAGGCTAATAAAACAAAGAAGGACACTATGTTTTATTTTCTTTTCCCAGCATTTTTATTGTTTTTATTTAAATGTAACATACTATACACTGTTCAGCCTTTTGGGAGGTAGGGAGAGGGAGTGAATCTGTATCTTTATGAGCAATCTCCTTAGAACCAACACTCATATGGACACTTGTTTGTGGCTGCTGCACCTTAACACCGCGGGCTGAAGCCCACACTTCCCACAGAGGCAGAGCTCCCAAAACCTCAATGGATTTTCTGAAAGCCTAAAACATTCAGGGCTGGAACTTCTTTTCTTTCAGTAGCACAGTCCAGCTGCAAAGGGGACCAGAATTCTACCTCAAGATTGAGCAGAGATGCCAGTTTTAAATGCAGGAGAATCTCATTACTCCTTAGCAAACTGTATCTGTCTTCATCTCTGTTGATGTGTTTGTGGGAAGAGAGGGGGAAGGGAGAGAAATGTCTTCTATTTTTGGTGTCTGCAAGCTTTGATACATTTTGCTAGAAGCTATTTTAGTGTTTTGAGTACTATAATGATGATTGTTTACACATAGTCTCTTTGGCAATCTAAATGGCTACGTGAAATAAGAATCCAGTTTCTGTCCTATTTGCTGTTACCACAGTTACCCAATACTATACCTGTCTCACCAAACATTTGATTTTGGTTGTAGGTGGTCCTGTTCATGTGCTAGGTGCAATTATTATTTTTAAATAAAAGAACAAAGAACAGCTAGTTCTAATAGGAAAGCATTACATTATAGCTTTCAGACTCGGTTACCAATTAAATTTTAACATACAGATTCCAACCACAAAAATTAAATATTTTCAGAATCTCATTTGTCAAAAAGTAAGTTGAAAGCCTAGTACCAGGAAATGCAACTTTATCCATAAGCCAAACACTTTTGCCCTAAATGCATTTCTTCTGAAATGTCAACACATTCTTCAGGATTGAGGAAAATATGACTTTTTATGGAAACATTTCTTAACGAAGCTAATCTTTAAATAACAGATTCACTGGAAGTGCTGGTTAAGTATAGACTCGAACAAATTATAAGAGAATCACAAAACACCAGCTTTTCTAGAGGTTAAACTTTAGCTAAAAAGACACATTTTAGTGAGTCTTTCCTTTGTACCAAAATACTGTGTCCAAACAATAAAAATAAGCAGATTTTCAAAATAAGAAATATGAAGACAAAACTGCAGCATCAATACAATCTTACAGTTATCACTTAAAGTATTTAGAACAAATAATATTTTACTACTTTTTTTTTAAATCACTACAGACACTGCAAATAAGGCTTATGCATTTATTTAGTGGAATACAATGCGATGATGACTGGTACACTCTTATGTACTGTGTCCCATTTATCTGCTCTAACAAAATGAATCTCGATATGGTTACATCATGGAACCTTCCAAAGGTCTTTAACCTTACAGAAAATAAGTTTTACTTGGTTTTTGTAAAGATTAGATCATATAGCTTGAACAGGTTTCAGTATATGGTCACACATAGACCAGGATATATCTGCTCACTTTAAGCCTGTGGGAGAGTTGCACTTCTTACCAAATTCCTCTATAGTTTCTTTGAGGATGATGCATTATGTGAGATTTACAAAGGGTTTTTATATATGCAGACAGCTTCTTCGTAATTTATTACTGACATATGGCAAAACATCATAATGAGGCTAGCCTACCAGGATGCTCTTAACAATTACTTTCTTTTTGTATGTTCATAGAGATCCACTATTGTATTGCAAAGAGAAGAATCTGGCATTCTAGGTCTATTCCTTGGGAAGGAAACCTCAGGGGTACATTTTGTTTTTAAATTATGGCAGACACATCTCACTCAAGCCATGTGGCAGCACTGCCATGTTTATCATTGATGGTTTTTATTGCAGAAGTGTAAATTAAGTCACCAGATACCATGTGGGGTACTCATACTGCTTCCCTAATCTCGTCTCTTATTCTTGAAGTGTTTGCCAAGTTTTAAAAACATTTTGTCATAAACATGCATGTGGTGTGCTGTAGAAGAAGAAAAGGTAAAACAGAGGGCAGCTGCTGAGGAGACTCTTTAAAACCCCAAAAGATATTTAACATCCTATTAAATAAATAACTTAGAAAGAAATAGAAAGGGGTGAAGGCAGAATGCACAAGCATACCATACTATTTGTTATGTTAGAACAGTTTTACACTAACATGTTTATATTTCTTAATCCTATCCAATCCTTCCATGACGCCACACCCAAAGCTCCTTTGGTTGTGCATATGATATGACCCAAGTGCTTTCCAGTAAATGCTTGCGTGTCTTTCTGCTCATTGAGTTATTAGGCTTGAATGAGCAATGAAAGTCTTTGATATGAGTTCATATTCCATAAATAACTCCCCGAAGATCATTCAACCAATTGTCCCATGTCCTTAAAGTTCTATCTCAGAGATTAAAAAACAAAAACAACAACTAAAACAAAAAACCCAGCCACAATGTTGTTTGCTTGGAAATCACTTCCATTCCATTGGATCTGCCTATATTGCAATTATAAGGCATGACATCGAGCTAATTAAAAGAACAATGTATGTCAGCCATGAGTACAAAAATCTTCAAAGGCTTCCTTTCTTTCAGGTAAGCAGATATTTGCAATGTGTCTGTCATTTGAACTACTGTCTTCATGAAGATTACCTACTATTCCTGACAAAAGAGCCTTTAGTTCTACTGTGTCCACGAGCACTGCCTTCCTCTACGAGTGTACCACCATTGGAAGGAAGTGGGCTGAGGTGTTTTTCCTTCGTGTTCTCTGTCCTCTCCTTGGAGCTCCTTTTCCATTCAATGCCACATACATTTGCCTCCCGTTGTGCTGCCAGTTAAAGGATGCATAGGTATTGTATCCATTTTCCTCTATCCTCTCCTTCAGCTTACAGTCATTGTTAAATTCTTTCTGCAAAAGAAAAGCATCATCTTTTATTTCTACAGTGATACTTGATCCTATCCATTTGATACAAACCATCTAGGGAATGTCAGTTCAAGGTTTTGTTTGTCGTTACTTCAAAAGGGATTACGATGTGAGCCTCGAAGAGGAAACACTTTTTTAAATGGTCAAATTGTTCTTCTAGACTCATTAATGGAGCCATGAATAATGGTGAAATTTGACTAAAATTCTTCTGACACCCTCACCACCCAAAACGCATTTACTGTAGCTCAGATGATCAACCAAAAGTATGCCTGACTCACCAATTATAAGTAGATATGATATGAATGAAATGCAAGGTTGTTTTATATCTAAACCCATTGCCATAGAGGCGGGGCAAGATGGCGGACTAGGCAGAAGGATTGCACAGACCCTCTTCAACAAAGAAAA